CTCACTTTCTGGCTCTCTGTCTCTTTCTGTCTTTCTGGCGAGCGCACATGCCCTATAGCACAAACCTCTAAAAAATAAATAAATAAATAAAAGATTCCCAGTTTGTGTCTGGAGACCTCCCTAAGTATCCTAAGTATGCTGGCCATGCACATGACCTTAATCAGCGCTGGCTCAAGCTAAGGGTAGATGGCTGCATCAAGATCCTATTGCAGGGGCCCACCTGGTGGCTTGCTTTCTCACTTTCCCTCTCTCTCTCTCTCTCTGGTCAAATTAAAACATAATAATAATAACAAATGAAATTAAATTTTTAAAAATTTAAAAAGAAATAAAAAGAATTCAGGGGACCAGCAGATTAAAACAGCTGGATCCTGGGTCGCATAGTGGTTAGGGGCACTGGACTCCCACATGGCTGACCGTGGTTCAAGCTACAGATTTTCTATCTTTCTCTAACTCTGTCCCTTTCTGGTCAAATCAGAATAAACAAGTAAGGGGGACCAGCAGTTAGCATAATGGCTATATCGCTGGACTCTCATGTAGTTGACCGCAGTTCGAATCCCGGATTAAACTCACATGTGCCTCGTGCCCAAGATGCCAAGAGGAAAATGGAGAAGGGATTACAGCATGGCCGTTCCCCCTAAGGGGTGATTTTTCGCTTTCTGTCTCTCTGTCTCGGTCTTTCTGGCGAGTGCATGCACCCTATAGCTAAAATCCTCTCCAAAAAAAAACCAGTAAACCAGTAAGGGACCAGCAGTTAGCATAATGGCTATATCGTTGGACTCCCATGTAGTTGACCGCAGTTCGAATCCCGGATTAAACTCACATGTGCCTCGTGCCCAACATGCCAAGATGAAAATGGAGAAGGGATTACAGCATGGCCGTTCCCCCTAAGGGGTGATTTTTCGCTTTCTGTCTCTCTGTCTCTCTCTGTCTTTCTGGCGAGTGCATGCACCCTATAGCTAAAATCCTCTCCAAAAAAAAACCAGTAAACCAGTAAGGGACCAGCAGTTAGCATAATGGCTATGTCACTGGACTCCCACATAGTCGACCGCAATTTGAGTCCCGGACCCGGTGGCT